AGCAGCACCGCACCGGGCCAGACACCAGAGCCTGGGTCCCAGAAAATTACGAGCCAAAAGACTAGGGCTTTCCAAGAACAGTTTTAAGAGCTGGGAACACCAAATTATGGCTGTCTTTGGAATTCAGGCCTTCAAACGGGACACTTCAGAGCTGTGAAAGCGTGTAGCCATCAATGCATTTTCCTTCCAACCCTCCTAGTCCACACTGGTCCCAGCTGTCAAGGGGATGGCTCCCAAGGGCAGCCTCACAAGAGCCGACTGCTGAAGCTGCTGTCAAAATCTCCCAGGGACTGCAAAACCAACAAAGAGCACACCCACCTCTTCCCACTCCTGCCTCCCGCCTGGCTTTTGCCACTGCTCAGCTTTACCGGGACAAAACAGATCACATCACAGCCCTACCTTGAATTATTAAATATTTAAAACAAAACCTGGAAGGTGCATTTTTCACTGCAGTTGCACCTCTCCAGACGTCCACAAACGTTCGCAGCTCCCACCAACATCACCAGCAGCATCACCAGCTCCAGCTCCCACCTCATCTAAGCTCAATGGCCTGCAGCACCTTATAAAGCCTCTGGGATTCTGCTACCCCGACATTCGCAGCTGGGCTCTCTGGCTGCACTCAGTGCCGCTTCCAAAATTAGGCAGGCACATTCCTCATTGCCCTCCCAGGCAGTTTACCCCCAGCTGCAGCCCCCGGGCTATGAACCAAGCCAAGAGGCGAGCAGTCAGCTGCCTCCCTTCTCCAGGACCGAGAGCAGGCAGCGCTCCCGACAGTTGCTGCGAGGATGAGGTCAGCCTCCCCTCGACGCTAAAAGCTCTGCTTGAAAAATTGCCAAGCCAGCAGAGATTGCCACTCCAGTGGCCGTTACCAGATAAAACAGCATCAGAGGGCTGAGCTCCTGCTACCCCGGGCTTTTGCCACGTCACAGTTACCACTACAGCCACTGCCTTCAGCAGGTGAATACTGGCATGTCTGGATTTCACAGGAGCCAAGGCACAGCATGAATTATTTGTGGTAAGGCTGACCTATTTAACAGCAGAAAGACGGCATTCATCGGAGCCCAGATTCCCCAAGGGCTGCCGGTGTCACTTTACCCCACAGGATAACACAACCCTGTCGCTATCTCTGGGCATCTTGGCTCACGGGGGAAGGTGGGGGGGTGGGGGGGTGGTACCTGTCTGAGGCTGTTCATGCTTTCAGTGTTTTTCTTGGAGGACAAGTGACACCTCCACATCCCTTTCAGCGCAAACTACTCCTGGCCTGCAGCTGGCTTCTGTTGACCAGCTTTAATCAGTGTTTTGTGACCACCACGGACAACACGCATGGGAAGCGGAGCAGAGTGAGCCCAGAGGGTCCTGAAACAGCGGAGAAGTCGCTGCTGGCAGCTCTGTTTCAGGCAGACCAGGGCCAGAGGATATGCAGGCAGTGTTTGCAGGGTGGCTGCCAAGTTCTGCAGCTATTCAGGACGCCTCTCTGCACAGCTCCTTCTAAGCTCTTGTATTCTCCAGTATTGGCTCCCATCCTCTACGCACAGGCCAAGGCAGCCCGCAAAGGGGTATTTCACATCGAGAAGATGCCGAACTCTTGGGGATACGTTTCTGTAGACCACCTCGGAATCACAGATCTCCACCAAGTCTTTGTGGACCTTACCTTTGTCTGCCAGGGACAGTGTGCTGTTGAAGTACTGCTCCTCCACGGTCCATGCTGTGTCATTGATCTTGTTAGACACCCCGCAGGACCCAACGCAGCTCACCTTGATGGCTGTGGAGAGAAAGCACGCACGTAAGCAACGGGAGAAAGCAACACCTCAGGTTCAGACTTGCTTCAGGTACCGTAAGTGGACTTGTGCAGGAGCAGTGCTTCGTGAAAACACACACACGGTGGAAAAATGGAGCTAAGGAATCAGGTCATGCTTTCGTTTCAGGAGCACATTTTCCCCTTACCCTCAGCGCTACTGCACACGCCCTGCTACCCCAGTGCTGTTCCCAGCTGCCATCGCCAGTGCAGTCCTCGTGCTGGCCTCCCTTGGACTGTGAAAGCCCTTAGCAGCAGTGATTTCACCCCCCAAGAGGTAACCCTCCCTCTAATTTCCCCCCATATGAACCAACGTCCCCTCCCCACAGGCGCATCAGCCCCTGGACTCAGGCTGACAGCAGAGACTTTTGCGGCAGCGACGCTCTCCCACGCACCCAGGAGTCCCTGCCCAGACAGGGATGAGCTGCACGGGGATCTGCTGCCTCCCACCCCCCACGAAGCCGGGCATCCCACCAGCCACCCGCCGGCCCCGGGACGAGAGGCTTGCTGGGCACGAGCC